TTTCCCTATTAGAAGTTTATATGAGAATCTAGTAGATGGCTAAAATTGTTGACTGTGGAAAAAGAAACAGGGAGCTTGAAAGTTCCTAACAGGTGATCTCCATTTTTATTCAGCAGATGATCTTTGTAATGGAAAGTAAAAAGGAATTATTTTCTGTGGTCTTCATCGTATACTAGTGCACAAATTCTCCTATCCAAGTTAGCTTCAAATAAAACTGAAGTAGCTAGAATCCCTGATTTCGTCTGCTTGAGAATTTCCCTGTCTTTGGCAATCTCCAATTCTCTTGTCAGCCAGGACTTCTTAGAGGATCAAAGAGAGAAACCCCACCTGCAAACAGAGAGAAAATTATTGCCTTCTAGACAAGCTGTGGCTTTGAAGGAACACTTTTTTTGAGTACAGATGCCCACTTATCAGAATTAATCCTTAGGCAGCAATGCTTGAGATGAAGGACAATTGATGCAGAGAACCTCAGGCAGGCAATGCAATTGTTGTGTCATTTTGTCCAGTTACTCTGTGGGTGAGTTCAGATCACAGAGAGTTTCATGTAGACAAGGAGCCTTCATCCAGCCCATGATTCCCCCACATGTCCTTGTGGATAAGTTGTCATCTCTGTATGATACTAATATTTATTGCAAGAAAGGAAACAGAGGTAAGTCAAACCTCTGAATACTGATTCATGTGAAGCAGATGGAGAATTTGGCCTTGAGGGTCCAGGGAAGCCAGGCATGGAAACACACCAGTGTCTCCCAGCGTTTTTAGAGAACATGCACACTCAGAGGATAAACACATTCCAGGAGGATTTGCTGAGCTCCCTCTCACCAGAATGTTTTTCCATGTGTTTTTCTCTTTGTGTTTGACAGTTGGCAGTTATTTGTGCAAGGCAGCCAGGTAACTCAGGGCCCAGCAATCCATTCCAGCCCACTTGCATCTGGGGAGCTCCCCTGCTGGGTGGGTTGATCTCAAGTCTCACTCAAGGACAAACTCTCCCCTTTAATCAAAGAGAAGAACTTCCCCATGGATCCAGGAGGTGACCAGGCCTTTGTGTCTCCAATCTCACCAAAACCAGTGTGGGCCTGGGTGCTTGGGTTGACAAAGTCTAGAGAACATAGTGCACAGTCTCCATGCCCCCAAAAGTGATAGAAGGATAACAGACTCAGACCCCAAGGAGATAGTCTTCCCAAGTCTCACAGTCCCACACTGGCTTCCAACCTTATGACCCTCAAACCAACAGCATCTGACAACAAAGACAAAGTACAATGAGACCCTGCTGCCTTAGTCCTTCATTGTTCGGTACAATGATCAATGTAGGAGACTCTCAGAGACTCATGCTCAGTTGGACCTCATGTTCCTGTTCTTTCAACCTGTACAAAGTCTTATTATTTCTAGGTGCTGTGAAGTGACTGGTGTTAGCTACTGATTAGTTTTGTTGTCAAAGCCACAGTATACTTTACACGTCTGTGAGAAACAGAGAGTCCTTTTTAGCATTAGGAATATTGTACTTTCTGTCCACAACTAATATAGGAACATTTCATAGCCTTTTTCTGACAGACAATTTAAAATATTTTACATTTTCTGTATATTTAGGATAACCGATTATGACATGCAACAACCATAAGAATTGGAGACCTTTATGTCTGGAAGTTTGGACCTCTTGACCACCTTCATCTAATTCCCCTACCCTCTAGTCTTGGTCTTTAGTAGCTATAAATCTGACTTTTTTTTTTGGAGTTTATTTATGTTTTTGTGACTTTCTTTGTTTTAGAATCCACTCGTAAGTGGGGTCATACACAATTTGTCTTATTCCGATTTATTTCACTCAACATGATGCCCTCAAGGTCCATTCATGTCGTCGCAAATGGTAGAGTTCCTTTATTTTTCATGGGTGAATAATATTCCATTATCTATGTGATGCGGGAAACAAAGACAGAAGGAAATGTAGATAAAATTAAACATCCTTATCACCTGCAGCCCATGGAGAAATAGTTAAAGCAGGCAGAGTATAAAGTTCCTCCAGGAAGATCCCAACTGTCTTAATGCCTTGCTAGAGGGAAAAACAACAGTGGTCTGACATGGGGTTTCCTGTGGGTCTTCTTTAGCATATGTTAGGGAAGGACTGCATGGGAAGGTTTCCAGAAGGAACTATCTGTACAGGCAACTGTGCAAACAGAGATACCATGTACATGATGGTCGAGATGGAAACTTTATGTTATGCAAGATAAAGCTGTAAAGAACGTGGATTCATCCTTTTGTCCCATGAGAAAGAGCGGCCTGGCCTCAGTTAATATGTAAACAACTCCTAAAATAGATTGAAATGAAAAAAAGAGGGCACACTGTTTGCCTTTTGTGATAACTGAAAAAAATTCAGCCTGTAAGGGCAAGGGCTTGCTCTTAGTCCTTGAGGCTTTGAGACCCCCACCATGTATTCATTCATTGTCCTGACTCACCATCGGGACCAATCAACAACAAGCATATAAAAATCCTTTGGAAACTTCCCTTATCTCTACTTCCCCCAACCTGAAAGTACATAATCAGCCACCCCTCACAACCCCGGGGCATCTCTTTCTGCCCATGGGTCCTGTCCTCCTGCTTGAAGAAAATGACTTTTAGCACCAAAGACTTCTCAAGAATTTTTTCCTGGTCATCGGCTTGGGACTTCACCAACATTCTTAAACTACATCGATTTCATGATATAAGTAATTCAAGTCATGATGTTTTTACACCTTCACCTTATACAGTGCTGGGCATCATTGCTATCTCAATAAAACTGAAAGAAAAGAAGAATTTGGAGAACTTTAAAGGTTTTATGTGAATTTCACCACCATAGCAATAATTCCTATCCTGTGCCTCTTAATGACTTGTCTAAAAAGAAGTTTCTGTAATAAAAGAAAACACAAGAGGATTCTCATTATTTTTCATGTTCCCCTAATCTACGTTTTTATGTTAGAGAAAACGCACATCATTTCCTAGGGTTGCCGTAACAAAGACCCACAAATCTGGTGGCCTCAAGCAACAGGAATGTACTCTCTCACAGGTCTAGGGGCTAGAAGTCTGAAATCAAGGTGTTGACCAGGCCCTACTCTCTCTGAAACCTGTGAGAGAGGATCCTCCCTTACTTCTTTACAGCCCTGGTGACCCCAGGCATTCCTTGATTTGGGGCAGCTTAAGTCCAATCTCTGCCTCTGTCTTCACATGGACTCCTCTCTCTGTAGTTCTGTGCCTCTGGGTTCTTCCTCCTTTTCTTCCGATAAGGCAACCACAGGGGCTAAGTGCAGGCCATCCAAAATATGCCACTCTGGTATATTGATTATTTTAAATAGTCGTTACTTGAGGGACAGCCTGTGCAAGAAGGACACTCAGACCTTCTTCTGTTGCCCTGAAATCAGGAGATAAATCTCCCGTGTGAAAGGCATCCGCCCTAGACAAGGAGCTAAAAAGACATTCTTATCATCACAGATAGGAAATTTATAAACCAGAGGGCTATATAAACCCTCCTTACTTTTCACTAAGTTACTTCCACAGCCCAAATCTTGCTTAGAATTCCTTACTGACTGAAGCTCTCAGATGCAACTTTTCTTTGGCCTGTCACTTCCTCGTAGATTTCTTTCCTTGGTCTAAAAAGTATGAAAACTGTCTGCCTTGGTCATTTCTTAGGGTCTCAGTTTCATTACTGGGCCTCTGCATGCATGGAACAAAATGTTTCCTCCTGCTTTTTCTTCTTTTTGTTTGTACTATTATTTTTTCTCCCTTAAATCTGTGTCATGCAAATTTTTTAGTCCAGCTTGAAGAACCTTGGAGAGAGGAAAATTTTCTCCTCCCCACTGCTACCAATCATATTCATTGGGGGCTAACCCTACCATATATGACACATCCAAAGTAATGATATCTATAATGACTTTTTTCCCCAATAATAGCACATTCTGAAGTACAAGGGGCTAAAATTTCAACATAATTTTTAAGGGGACACAATTCAACCAATCTTGATGTATAAAAACAAATTTTAATTTAATACATTTAAAAAGAGTCCTATACAATTGGCTTTAACATTTTTGAAAGAACTGCTTTTGTTCCTTCACTCCTTTTTTCTTCTTCAGCTGCTTACCTTTCTGGGTTCTTTCACTGGCATGATTAATTAAGGGATCTGGAATTTTTTAGGACGGCAACCTATTGCTTAGTAATAGAAACACTGATTAGTATTGGTACCATCAGAAGTCAGGAGTATGATCCAGAATTGCCTTGTTGCATCATAAGAAATGACCAGACCAAAGAAACCAAAATAACTTTAAAAAAAAAAGTACCCAGTGGTTCTGATCACTGAGACATAGAATTCTTTTACCCTTACTAATATATATGCTTGGCTGTAGCTTCTCCCTACAACAGACACATGATTTTTTCCCCGTCAACTTCTTTTGACTTGAGTGCTCTATAAAATTTAGTTCCCTGAGTCTGATGAAATGATCACTTACATCACATGATCCTAACATTCTTAAACAATTAACCTATAACAGTAGATACCTGAAAATTCTGGAAATAGCTCACCTCCATGCTGTTATTAGGAGAAAATTCTGATGACCAGTACTTGTGAGGTGGGGGTGGGGTTTCCTTGTCTCCATTAGGTGAAGGAATGTGAGAAAGATGGCTGCTGATCTCAGGGAGACTGACCCTGGACACACACATCTACATTTCAGGGTCTCAGGTTCCTTCGTAGATGGGCAGAACCATGTGTGCTGTGCCTTCACAACAGAACCACACTTTCACAGTGGGATATTCTTCTTCCTACTACCCCAGGCACTATGGACTTGAGCTTTGTGACTTTCTTCCAAACACAGAAGACCTTGTATTTATTTCACTTTGCTTGAAAGCAGGCCCCTCCCACCCTCTCCCTAGCTCTCTGCACCCTGCTGCACCCACTAGGGGTTTTGCATATTGTCTCCTACAGAGGTCCTTCCCTTTAAAGTCTGAGATAAAAGGTAAGCTTGAATCTTGCTTTGCCATATCAGGACTCCTCAGCTCAACTTCTCAAAATGAGGTTCCCTGCTCAGCTGCTTGGACTGCTGATGCTTTGGTTCCCTGGTAAGGACCGAGGGGGGATGAAGATGGGAAGTGGGGAGGAGGAGCTCCGGGGGCATTAGATCTGGGAGAGTGAGGAAGATTCCAGAAGGAGCAAGGAACTATGCTCTAGTGAGGATTGTGACAGAGAAGGTGGGGATGGTGTTAGCGATGATGAGAGGCCTCTCTCCACTCCACAAATCTCAGGTTCATTATCCTGATTGTGCATTTATGGTGCATGTTTGAAGCACAAGGAATGGGAATGAAAGAAGGTCATATTTTAGCTAAAACAAAAGAGGCAGAAACAATGAAAAGTGCTAAAAATATTTGTATGTAACTTGGCATTTGTCTCTCTCCTTACCTAGGATCCAGTGGGGATATCGTCATGACGCAGACCCCACTGTCCCTGTCTGTCAGCCCTGGAGAGCCGGCCTCCATCTCTTGCAGGGCCAGTCAGAGCCTCCTGCACAGTGATGGAAACACCTATTTGAATTGGTTCCGACAGAAGCCAGGCCAGTCTCCACAGGGCCTGATCTACTTGGTTTCCAAACGTTTCTCTTGGGTCCCAGACAGGTTCAGTGGCAGCGGGTCAGGGACAGATTTCACCCTGAGAATCAGCAGAGTGGAGGCTGACGATGTTGGAGTTTATTACTGCGGGCAAAGTATACAAGCTCCTCCCACAGTGGTTCAGCTCTGAACACAAACCTTCCTGCCTGAGGGTCTAGCTGCCCAAGCATGTAGCTTCTCTGGGGATCTCACAGGGGATTCTCTGTCTGTGTAAGCGGAAGGAGTCAGAGGGCCCTGGGGAGCAGTTTGCAGCTGGGCGGTAGCCCCCAATGTTAAGTCTCTGTGGGCTGCACAGCCTGGCTAGGCAGAAGCAACAGGAAGGGAACTCAGGGATTCCTTGCTTGTGTGAAAGTGCTTATGGTGAATGGAAGAGCTACTGACAGCTCCCCCCTAATCCTGCATGCTGTGCCTATATGTCTCAAATAATTGTTGTCATTCTAGTAAGCAGAAAAGTGACATAGATCTGTGGCAGAAAAGTGAATACCATTTGGAATCAACAGTGTGGGCTGTACTTTCCACAGGATCATATTTGCTAATATTAGTAGCATTAGTGGCATTTTCTCACTTTCTCCTTTCCTGCTTCTCTACTACTTACACTATCCCCTCCATTAACATGTTCAGGAGAGTGATCTACACAAGGTGCCAACAGGAGAGTTTCGGTGAGAAAAATTAGTAAAAGTGTCTGATTCTGATAAAACCAAAATAAACATTTGAAATGTTTGGTTATTGTAAGGTTCCAGTGCAAGCATCTTTGATTTTCTTCAATTACATATTTCTGAGTGAAAAGAGGTTCTTGCAATTTCATAATTGGGCTTTGAAAATAAACAGCAAAAATAAATGATTTGAGACAAAAGTTACCTTTCTGCATCACAGGGAAAGCCAGAGTATATGGGATTTTTCTTTCTCTCCTAAATGGCAAGGGTGTGAACTCTATTGAACTTAAACACAACTATAGATGTATTTGGTACTCTATTGCTGTAAGAAAAGGTTTTGAATGATAACTTGTATTATTTTCACATGATGTAGTCATTAACTGAAAATGACCACAAATAATAGATTTTTTGGAAATCTTTTGAAAATATATGCATTGAATAGGTTCCATTCAAGAGTGCTGCAAAGTGACACCTGACCTAATAATTGGTCATGCTATTTATGTCATCACACATATGATAGAACTAAAGTCACTAAGTCAAGGGAACGATTTCTAGTTGAGAAAATAAAGTGTATAGAGATGATTGCCTCTTCCAGATAATGAATATCATGGCAAGTACAATTATTTTATTTTATTTTATTTTTTATTTATTTATGATAGAGAGAGAGAGAGAGAGAGAGAGAGAGAGAGAGAGAGGCAGAGACACAGACAGAGGGAGAAGCAGGCTCCATGCACCGGGAGCCTGACGTGGGATTCAATCCCGGGTCTCCAGGATCGCGCCCTGAGCCAAAGGCAGGCGCCAAACCGCTGCGCCACCCAGGGATCCCTGGCAAGTACAATTAAATGCAATGTGTCAATTCTGGTAGCTTTGATAGTGTGTGAAAAAAAAGCATATACAAATCAGGCAGACTGGAGTCCACAAATCTTGGAACTTATGACACTTAACAAAATATTTTAGAATATTGATAAGTGCATTATGAGATGGAAAGCGATTATGGAAGCACAGAGAGGAAACAGAGCAGGAAGACCCGAGGCTCAGCTGAGCCATAGTCATCTTACTCCCACATGATTTATAGCACCTTGTGATCTGGAATTTCTGCTTTGATATCAGGCTGGAGAGAAAGCCAAAGTCCCTTAGCATGTTGAGACTAGTAGAAGAGTCCTATATGATGCTTGTATCCCAAAAGGACTGTACTCAAAACAAAATAGTACAAAATAAATGATCTCATAAAACTGAAAGGGGACACCAAGGAGAATCAGAAGACAATTTAATTGGCTGTTACACAGAAATCTCCAAATATAGTTGATTAAATATGACAAGATTTCTCTGTCACTAACAGAATGCTCCAGAGGTGGGCCAGCTCCCTTGGTTAAGGAAAGTGGCTCATTAGGTCACTTGGATTTTCCCCAGCTGGTCACCGTGTATGGTGATTAGGGACCTTGCTCCTAATTTCAGCAGGTGGTTTCAAATCTTATTTATTTATTTATTTATTTATTTATTTATTTATTTATTTATATTTTTAATGTTTTGTTTTTAAGTAATGTTCACACCCATTGTGGGACTTAAACTACAACCCTGAGATCAAGAGCCACATGCTCTACTGACTGAGCCAGCAAAGTGTCCCAAAATCTATTCATCCTTGCACTTATGGTCACTATGTCAAAATACATAGCACATCTGAAGGCGAGTCTCTGAAGTCAACAGGATTTCATACTTAAGCAGACCCCTCTGTGTGTCATATATGGTAGATTAACGGATGCCATAGTCATGAGTTTACTGTTACATGAGCTTCACAAAAAGTATGTTCCTTGTCCCAAACAATACTCTTATCAATCAACCAAAAACTCTGCAAACTCTTGGATGATGTGACCAACTGAGACTCACTGGATCGGGAAGCTTAACTGTATCTGGAACACAACTAAGCCCAGGATTGATGCATCACATGCTCTGTGAGGAACTGATAAAATATACAAAATTAGGAATAAGTAGTTGGTAGTATTAGTCCCTGCTGGTGGCAGCTCAGATACCCAAAGGTGACAAAAATTATGTCCACCCTAGTGGGGATGGTAATGGTGGGCTCATGCCATTGGGCATAGAGCCTCCACTCATGTCACCATGGCTTTGTTACTCATCAACATAGTGAGCAAATACCATGGGGCTTGAGGCAAGGGCTGAGTATAGCTCATCTGCTCAAAGTACAGGCTTGTTTGTTTGTTGTCTTACCTGTGGTGGATACTCTGCTAAATTTTGACCAAACACTGAGTTCCATTGACAAAATGTTCACTCCCTTCTGTGTATCCACAGTCCTTTTTCCAGATCTCATAATCAGTGACCTTCTGATTTTCTCCTCCCACACCCTTGATTTATCAGACATCCAAGAATCCTTGTCAGCCCTTATCTCAGGCAAGTTGTGTATTTGTAGAAGTCAGAGCCATAAAGACAGGAAATCATAGTAAGTAATACCCCTGACATGTTAGGCATGCTATGCATGTAGCTAGAGAAACCCAAATACTTGGAAGAGTTCATGAATTCTACTCTTTTCCTGTCTTCACTTCTCTTTTCATGTCCTGAGCACCAAAGAAGCCTCATGACCTCCTTGATCTTGCTCACCTTCTAGGCTCCTTAGAATTGTGGCCAAAAAGTCAGATACAACGTAGAGAGTAGGGATTCCATGGTTCTTCTCAACCCCAATGTGTGTTTGCAAGTTTCCCTCCTTCTCAGGAGTTTTTGGGGGGAGGTGCAGACTCATCCCACTGAGTTATCATCAGAGTGTGCATTTGAAGATTTCAAAAGAACACTCTGATGACCAAGTGGGATTTTTCCCTGGGATGCAAGGCTGGTTCAACACTAGTAAAACAATCAATGGGATTCATCATATCAGCAAGAGAAAAAACAAGAACCATATGATCCTCTCAATAGAGGCAGAGAAAGCATTTGACAAAATACAGCATCCATTCCTGATCAAAACTCTTCACAGTGTAGGGATAGAGGGAGCATTCCTCAACATCTTAAAAGCCATCTACAAAAAGCCCACAGCAAATATCATTCTCAGTGGGGAAACACTAGGAGCCTTTCCCCTAAGATCAGGAACAAGACAGGGATGTCCACTCTTACCACTGCTATTCAACATAGTACTAGAAGTCCTAGCTTCAGCAATCAGAGAACAAAAAGAAATAAAAGGCATTCAAATTAGCAAAGAAGAAGTCAAACTCTCCCTCTTCACAGATGACATGATACTCTACATAGAAAACCCAAAGACTCCACCACCCCAAGATTGCTAGAACTCATACAGCAATTTGGCAGTGTGGCAGGATACAAAATCAATGCCCAGAAATAAATGGCATTTCTATACACTAACAATGAGACTGAAGAAAAAGAAATTAAGGAGTCAATCCCATTTACAATTGCACCCAAAAGCATAAGATACCTAGGAATAAACTTAACCAAAGACGTAAAGGATCGATACCCTAAAAACTACAGAACACTTCTGAAAGAAATTGAGGAAGACACAAAGAGATGGAAAAATATTCCATGCTCATGGATTGGAAGAATTAATATTGTGAAAATGTCAATGTTACCCAGGGCAATTTACACGTTTAATGCAATCCCTATCAAAATACCATGGACTTTCTTCAGAGAGTTGGAACAAATTTCAAGATTTGTGTGGAATCAGAAAAGACCCTGAACAGCCAGGGAATATTAAAAAAGAAAACCATATCTGGGGGCATCACAATGCCAGATTTCAGGTTGTACTACAAAGCTGTGGTCATCAAGACAGTGTGGTACTGGCACAAAAACAGACACATAGATCAATGGAACAGAATAGAGAATCCAGAAGTGGACCCTCAACTTTATGGTGAACTAATATTTGACAAAGGAGGAAAGACTATCCACTGGAAGAAAGCCTCTTCAATAAATGGTGCTGGGAAAATTGGACATCCGCATGCAGAAGAATGAAACTAGACCACTCTCTTGCACCATACACAAAGATAAACTCAAAATGGATGAAAGATCTAAATGTGAGACAAGACTCCATCAAAATCCTAGAGGAGAACACAGACAACACCCTTTTTGAACTTGGCCACAGTAACTTCTTGCAAGATATATCCATGAAGGCAAGAGAAACAAAAGCAAAAATGAACTACTGGGACTTCATCAAGATAAGAAGCTTCTGCACAGCAAAAGAAACAGTCAACAAAACTAAAAGACAACCTACAGAATGGGAGAAGATATTTGCAAATGACCTATCAGATAAAGAGCTAGTATCCAAGATCTATAAAGAACTTATTAAACTCCACAGCAAAGGAACAAACAATCTAATCATGAAATGGGCAAAAGACATGAACAGAAATCTCACAGAGGAAGACATAGACATCGCCAACATGCACATGAGAAAATGCTCTGCATCACTGGCCATGAGGGAAATACAAATCAAAACCACAATGAGATACCACCTCACAGCAGTGAGAATGGGGAA